CGGACTCTCAACCACTGCGCCACCAGGGAAGCCCGGCAGGCGGATTCTTAACCACTGAACCACTAGGGAAGTCCCTCTCCTTCACTTTTGAAGGTAATTTCATAGGCTACAGAATTCTAGGTTAGGGTCTTTTCTCTCTCAACACTTTAAATATTCCACTCCACTCTCTTCTTGCTGGTATGGTTTCTGAGGAGAAGTCAGATATAATTCTTTTCTTTGCTCCTTTATTGGTAAGGTGTCCCCCCCGGCATCCCAGCTTCTTTCAGGATTCTTTATCTTTTTAAAAAAATATTTAATTTAATTTATTTTATTTTTTGGCCATGCTGCGCCGCATATGGTATCTTAGTTCCCCGACCAGGGATCAAACCCATGCCCCTTGCATTGGAAGCGTGGAGTCTTAACCACTTGACCAGCAGTAAAGTCCAAGATTCTTTATCTTTGATTTTTTTCAGTTTAAATATCATATGCCTGTAGAGATGTGGATGGACCTAGAGTCTGTCATACAGAGTGAAGTAAGCCAGAAAGAGAAAAACAAATATCGTATATTAACGCATATATGTGGAATCTAGAAAAATGGTACAGATGAACCTATTTTCAGGGCAGGAATAGAGATGTAGACATAGAGAACAGACATGTGGATGGAGGGTGGGGAGGGGAGAGTGGGACAAATTGGGCGATTAGGATTGACATATATACACTACCATGCGTAAAATAGATAGCTATCAGGAACATGCTATAAAGCACAGGAAGCTCAGCTCAGTGCTCTGTGACAACCTAGATGGGTGTGATGGGGGGCAGGCGGAGGTGGGAGGGAGGTCCAAGAGGGAGGAGATATAGGTATACATATAGCTGATTCACTTCATTGTACAAAAGAAACTAACACGACATTGTAAAGAAATTTTACTCCAATAAAAAATAAATTTAAAAAAGAAAGAAAAAAACCCCAAAAATATCATATGCCTAGGGACTTCCCTGGTGGTCCAGTGGTTAAGAATCTGCCTTCCAATGCAGGGAACGCCGGTTCAATCCCTGGTCGGGGAACTAAAATCCCACATGCCCCAGGGCAAATAAGCCCACGCACCACAAGGAAAAGATCCCGAGCACTGCAATTAAGACCCCACGAAGCCAAAAATAAATAAATAAATAAACAAATATGATATGCCTAGGTGTAGTGTTTTTTGTTTGTTTGTTGCTTGTTTTGTTTTTTGGCATTTATCCTGCTTTTGATATTCTCTGAGATTCCTGGACCTGTGGTTTGGTGTCTGACATCAATTTGGGGGAAATTCTCAGTCTTATTACTTCAAATATCTCTTCTGTTCCTTTCTCATTCTTCTCCTTCTGGCATCCTGACTTCATGTATGGTACAGCTTTGTAGGTGTCCCATAGTTCTTGGATATTCTGTTCCATATTTTCAGTCTTATTTTCTCTTTGCATTTCTTTTTGGAGGTGTCTATTGATATATTCTCATGTTCAGAGATTATGTCCTCAGCCATGTCCTGTCTACTAATAAGCCCATCAAAGACATTCTCTATTTCTAGTACTGTATTTTTAATCTCTAGCATTTCTTTTTAAATTTTTTCTTAGAATTTCCATCTCTCTGCTTATATTGCCCATCTATTCTTGCGTGCTGTCTACTTTACTCATTGGAGCCCTTAGCATATTAATCATCATTGTTTTAATATCATCATGTGATAATTCTAACATCCCTGTCATATCTGAGTCTAGTTCTGGTGCTTGCTCTGTCTCTTCAAACTGTGTTTTTTGCCTTTTAGTACCACTTGTGATATTTTCTTGATAGCTGGTCAGGATGTACTGGGTAAAAGGAACTGTGGTAAATAGCCTTTAGAAATGTAGTGATAACATGTTGGGGGAGGGGAAGCATTCTATAGTCCTGTGATTAGGTCTCAGCCCTTTTTTTGGCGGGGGCAGAAATAGTTCCTCAAACAGGGATTGAACCCATACCTTCGGCAGTGAAAGCACAGAGTCCTGACTGCTGGGCCGCCAGGGAAGTCCCAGGTCTCAGGCCTTGAGTGAACCTCTGCCTCTGGACTATGAGCTTCACAAGTGCTTCTCAGTTCCCCCTTAGCTGCTATAGGACGGCTTGAATGGGCTGGAGTTGGGAATTTGCCTTCCCTCACAGGTTAGAGCAAGCTGGAAGTTCGATACTTCCTTTCCTCCAGGTTGCTTAAGCTCTGATAAAACCCCAACAGTTTAGGCTCTGGTCAAATAGTTTCTCCTCATAGAAGGCCTTGTTAAGAAGAACAGAATGCTCTGGTATATTTTTAAATGGTTCTTTTTCCCCTCCCCCGGGCCAGAAGTATGGGATTTTTCTCTAATATTCTCTGCGAGAACCTGGTCAAGCTGCTGGAGGTAAAATTCACTAAAGTGTGGGTACCTCTCTATGACTGGGTCCCACTGTACTTTTTTTTCTTACGTTATGCGGGCCTCTCACTGTTGTGGCCTCTCCCATTTGCGGAGCACAGGCTCCGGACGCGCAGGCTCAGTGGCCATGGCTCACGGGCCCAGCCGCTCCGCGGCATGTGGGATCTTCCCGAAACGGGGCACGAACCCGCGTTTCCTGCATCGGCAGGCGGACTCTCAAGCACTGCGCCACCAGGGAAGCCCCCCACTGTACTTTTTTTCTTTACTCACGGTTAACGATTTATTACAAAGGATATTAAAGGGTAGGAATGAACAGCTAGATGGAAAGATACCCTAAGACGTAGTCGCGAGCACAGGAGTTTCTGTCCTGGGGAGTTCGCGGTGCACCACCCTCCCAGTATGTGGATATGTTCTTTTTCTTAAATTGACATATAGCTGACTTAAAATATTATATAAATTTCAGATGTACAACATGGTGATTCACAATTTTTAAAGTTTGTAGTTATTATAAAATATTGGCTGTATTCCTTGTGCTGTAAAATATATCCTTGTAGCTTATTTATTTTATATCAATACATAATAGTTTGTAAGGGACCTATAGTTTTTAATCTCTCAGTCTTGTTCACACTGAACCTTACAGTGCAGATTTTCCTATGCTGGTACTAATTCCTGCAGAGGTTTCTGCTCTAGTAAGTGTTTTTTTTTCTTTTTTCGGCTGCGTTGGGTCTTCGTTGCTGCGCATGGGCTTTCTCTAGTTGCGGTGAGCGGGGGCTACTCTTCGTTGCATTGCTCGGGCTTCTCATTGCCGTGGCTTCTCTTTTTGTGGACCACAGGCTCTAGGCACACAGGCTTCTGTAGTTGTGGCTCGTGGGCTCTAGAGTGCAGGCTCAGTAGTTGTGGTGCATGGGCTTAGTTGCTCCCCGGCATGTGGGATCTTCCTGGCCCAGGGCTTAAACCCGTGTCCCCTGCCAATGGCAGGTGGATTTTTTTTTTTTTTTGCAGTATGCAGGCCTCTCACTGTTGTGGCCTCTCCCGTTGTGGAGCACAGGCTCCGGACACGCAGGCTCAGCGGCCATGGCTCATGGGCCCAGCCGCTCCGCAGCATGTGGGATCTTCCCGGACCGGGGCACGAACCCGTGTCCCCTGCATCGGCAGGCGGACTCTCAACCACTGCACCACCAGGGAAGCCCCAGGTGGATTCTTAACCACTGTGCCACCAGGGAAGTCCTCTAGAAAGTTTTGATTCTCTGTATTCACTTTTCTGCCTCTCCAGTTCTATGGGGTCACAGTTTGCCTTGTGATCTAGAAGAGTTGTTGATTTTCAGTTTGTTTAGTGTTTTACTTGTTGTTACAATGAAGTGACAACTTCCAAGCTCCTTGCACGCCAGACTGGAAACCAGAAGTCCAGTCTTCCTCTTTTTATATTTTTAATTTTCAATCAATCAAGAAACATCACCTAGGGACTTCCCTGGTGGTCCAGTGGTTAAGACTCCACGCTTCCACTGCAGGGGCCACGGGTTCAGTCCCTGGTAGGGGAATGAAGACCCTGCATGCCCTGCAGTGCAGCCAAAAAATAATAAAAATTTTTAAAACAGAAACATCACCTAATCGTTATGATGTTCCAAGCACTGTAGTAGATGTTGAGGCTGTGTCCTTGCTGCTGAAGGAAGTTGCAGACCAGAAGGAGATACAGACAGACAAACTGCAAAACTATGTGATAAAGGTCATGAAAGGGCAAGTACTGTAGTGCTGTAGGAGCACAAATTCTGGGATCGAGGGTTGGTTTCAGAGAAAGCTCCTCCCGAAAGGTAAGACTAGAATGACTCTTGACTAAAGTTAACAAAGATGGGGTGGGAAGTGTGATAGGTACCATATGCAGGGTAGATAACATTTGTGCCATGTGCAAAAAAGGACCATGCTGGGTTAGGAAGCTGCATGAAGAATAAAACTGTTTGGAGCACAAGGTGAGAAGGAGGGAGAGAATGAGCTTAGATGTCACTAGGCTTTTGCTCTATGACATTAAGGACCATGTCCAGCAGGAAACAGATGGCTTGGCTCAAACTGGTGAGTGCGGAAGACTTAAGGGACTATTTACAGGGTCCCCTTAGAATTGTAAAAGGTTTGGGGAAACCATCAGTAGGAAGAGTTATTATCACTCCTAAGCCTGATCACTTAAATGAAAGGAACAGTGACCAGAATAGAAAAGTGTGGCTCTATGGAGAGGGCTGCCTATCAGGAGCTCTATCTTAGGTAAAGGGAACATGGATGAGGGTAAAATACTCACCCTCAGTACTCTGGTAAAGAGAGAACCAGGGAATAAACACACTGATCTCTACACCTCTGATCTTCTGCCCATGCCTGCCATCGGTCAAACCTAATCAGAGTTTGGATAGCAAGAAAACCCACTGAATCATCCAAATCTGTCAGCCTCCTTGAGCAAGGATGGAAAGTGGATCTGGAGGAGCACATGGAAGATCTCCAACAAGTCACTGCACCCTCAGTACCTAATGCAATACCTGACACAGAGGAGAGATTGAATGACTGAATGAGGCTGGATAGGGAGTGGAAACCCCATCTTGCTGGGTTTTACTGACTCATGCTAATACGATTTTACTTCATAGTGGTGGGGAACAATCAGAGTATTTTAAGCAAAGGAGAGACAATTGGATTTGCATTTTAGAGACATCAGTCTTGGTAACTGTGGAGAATAAACTGGAGGAGAACAAACCTGGTAGCAGAGAGGCCAGGTACAAGGCTGTTGCAGCAAAATCCAGGACAGAGATGACAGATGCTCTAAAGAACTGGAGACGAAAATACAAGGTGGGCTTAAGGACCTTAAAGGGTAGAACTGGCAAGAACACATTGTGATTGACTGGTAGGAGATAAGAAAATAGTATGGGATGGGGGTGTAGGTTGGAAAGAGGATGACTATATTTCTTTTTTCTTTTTTTTTTTTCCAGTCTAACGCCGTTTTAATTTTATTCACAGTGTATCTGCTTTTTAAATATTTATTGGAGTATAATTGCTTTACAGTGTTGTATTAGTTTCTGCTGTGTAACAAAGTGAATCAGCTATATGTATACATATATCCCCTCCCTCTTGAGCCTCCCTCCCACCCTCCCTATCCCACCCCTCTAGGTGGTCACAAAGCACTGAGATGATCTCCCTGTGCTATGTGGCTGCTTCCCACTAGCTAGCTATTTTACATTTGGTAGTGTGTATACATCAATGCTACTCTCTCACTTCATCCCAGCTTACCCTTCCCCCTCCCCATGTCCTCAAGTCCATTCTCTGTGTCTGTGTCTTTATTCCTGTCCTGCCCCTAGGTTTTTCAGAACCTTTTTTTTTTATAGATTCTATATATGTGTTAGCATACGGTATTTGTTTTTCTCTTTCTGACTTACTTCACTCTGTATGACAGACTCTAGGTCCATCCATCTCACAACAAATAACTCAGTTTCATTTCTTTTTATGGCTGAGTAATATTCCATTGTATATATGTGCCACATCTTCTTTATCCATTCATCTGTCTATGGGCATTTAGGTTGCTTCCATGTCCTGGCTATTGTGAATAGTGCTGCAGTGAACATTGGGGTGCATGTGTCTTTTTGAATTATGCTTTGTTCAGGGTATATGCCCAGTAGTGTGATATCCAGGTCATACGGTAGTTCTATTTTTAGTTTTTTAAGGAAACTCCATACTGTTCTCCATAGTGGCTGTATCAATTTACATTCCCACCAACTGGGCAAAAGGTTCCCTTTTCTCCACACCCTCTCCAACATTTATTGTTTGTAGATTTTTTGATGCTGGCCATTCTGACCGGTGTGAGGTGTTACCTCATAGTAGTTTTGATTTGCATTTCTCTAATGATTAGTGATGCTGAGCATCTTTTCATGTGTTTGTTGGCAATCTGTATATTTTCTTTGGAGAAATGTCTATTTTGGTGTTCCGACCATTTTTGGATTGGGTTGTTTGTTTTTTTTTTTGATATTGAGCTGCATGAGCTGCTTGACTATATTTTTTAAAGACCTCTTTTGGTGTTGGTGTGTCTGTGAGAAATCTGAGTTCAGTAGGCAAGTTGCTGTAGGAGTGTGATGTTCGACAGACCTGGGCAGGAGAAAGGAATTGGATCAGATCTGGCAGAGACATTGTACCCATGCTTTGTGTTCTGACTCCTGTTGTTTGTGTCCCCTGGGGTTGGGGAGGGGTACAAAAGGGTCTTAGGGCAGAGGGGGTTAGTTCTATGGCAGTTGAGAAGCAGTGAGCCGGAAGCTAGGATGGAGAGAAGAGAAGGAAATGAAAGGACCTTCCCGAATGTTTACAATATCAGCAGAATGAGCTACCCAACCTACAGGGTGAGGAAGCCTTTTGTAGGCCAGGTAGTAGTAGGGGTCCTTTTGGAGACAGCAGCTTCTCTGTGTCCTGGGGAAAGTATCGAGGTGGCAGAGGCATAGATCACTCCATTTTTTTTAACTGGGGACAGGTGAAATGGAATGTTTTTTTATTTCGTGGGAGGCTCTGGAGTCAGAGGAGAAAAAGACCCTGAAGTGTGGAGGGAGGAGGAGTTCCCCAGAGCACAGGATTCAGGGCTTGACTTTTCTGTGAATGGAGATGGAGACGCGTGGGGTGAGAGTCCTTTCATGATGTCCCCCTCCTTTCCCCACCACAGCCAATTCTCCCCCGCATGCACCGCTTGTCTTCCACGCCACCCTACCAGCGCCGGCTCCTGCAGAAAAGCCGCAGCTACATTCGCCTTCTCTGTGCTTGCTTCTGGGGCTTCAGCTGTGACCCGCTGCTCTGCTTGTCCCCTTTACACTGGGTGCGGTTCACGGTGCTGAAGGACAGGCAGAAGCTCTTGGCGGGGCTCTGGACCGTGTGCCACCACGATCTCTGCTGGAACCACACACCGAAGGCACCCTGTGAGTGCTTTCCAGATCCCAGCCCCCTCCTTTGGTGGACCCACTCAGATCCTCCACAGCTCCCCGCTCTCCTTTCTCCTTCCCACAACCCTGCCCCTTCCTTCCCCCACTGATTCACAAACGTGTAAGGACAGCTCCTCCAAACAGGGTACATGTGCCCAAGTTTGTCTCATCTAGGCTCCCCCAGTGACTTGAAAGCCAAAGCCCCTTTGTGATTGGAAGCTAATGCCTAGTGACCTTCGCACTCACGACTTCCCTCAGAAAAAGAAATATTAGTCATTTTACACCATTATATGAAAGTTACTTCATAACAGACCTCTAAAGGTCATGGTTACAATTTCAACTTTTCCCTCGTTGTGGAGTAAATTATTTATTTCCTTGTTAAAGGAATTCCCCACATCAATGAGGAGATGGAAAGAGGGTCCCTGCTGGTGCCTGTGAAGCCACCCACTTGGTGGCTCCTTGCTCTGACTGCATTGCATGTAATACAAGCCCTGATTCCATCTGCTTTTGTCCATCGCTTCCCAAGACCCTGTCCATCCTTCTTTCAGGGCAGGTCACCTCTGCTGCAGCCAAGCTTCTCTTTTCGCCTTCCCCTGGCAGACTACCTCCAATACTCCGTGGCCTTCTTCCTCATGTCTGCTTTCAGCATCCTCATTATTATTACATGGCTCAGCATCTCTCTCACCAAAGGGCCAGGAGACAAAACCTACATAGATCTGGGTGTATCCATCTTCTGTTTCATCTCAGGTACAACATAATGAGGTTGGAAATGTTTGTCCCTGGAGTCCTTGTATTTCTTCCCCTGCTGGTGCCATTTCCCCTTTTTTTATCAAGTCATTCCCGGCCTCACATGAATACTGCTGTCACAGGACCCTTGTCTCTTCCCAAAGGGAGGAAAGCTTTCAATAAACTTTCACTCCTGACAGGGCTATTGCCTCTTAAAGAGGGGACCTTGAAGAGATTATGCTTAATCCAATGGAAACATCTCTAAGAGTTGTTATCTGAGGGACTAATGGGGAGATATTATAGGCTGGAGGCCCTTCTGGCACCCAGAAAATTACCATGTAGCTACTAGCTACCTGTTCTGTCCATCGTGTCCATTTGGCCTCTGCCAAATGGTCTTCCCACGACCACTGCCATGTAATAGGCCTCCATGGCATGAGATAGCTGAGGGTGACAGGAAGTGCAAAGACTGGGAAGAGAGTGGAGGCAGAATGAGGGCTATTGTGGGTAGTAATTGCTTTCATTCTGATCCCAGGCACCTGCCTATGCTTCTGCCTCATCTTATTCCTGATGGAAGTGAAACTGTACAGTAGGAAAGTCTCAGAGCCCCGTTTCCTACTAGTCCACCGCATCAATTGGTGGGGCAGTATCTTCTACGTGATAGTTGGTGAGTTAAAGGTCCTGTTAGGTAGTGAAGGCACAGAAAAAGCAATTCTAGGTGATTGGCCCTTCTCCCTATCTCTTTTTCCCTTTCTTTTGGTTGTTTGTTTAGTATATTAGAATCTCATAATTTGGAAGTGTCCTGCAAGTGTCATTGTCATGTCAATGAGCATTCTAAAGCAAGTGCTTCCAACTTATCTAAAACATTTTTTCTATAATGATACCTGACCCTGAACAAACAGGAGAAAGATTCAGGAAATAGAAGAAGGCGGCAAAGGTATAACTGAGCTATTCATAGTTCTTCTGTTCTTCCAGAAGACAGTTCCTTAATTCTCCTCTCCTTTTATCACATCAAATAAGGTTTCCACCTTTATGGATCTCCAGAATAAAGCAATAACATTGGAGTTTTGCCTGTGTAATACTTCTCCGATAATCTTTCTAAACCACATACTTATTTTTATTAACTACAACAGTGGTCTCTAAACCATTGCATCACACACTCTATTAGTAAGACACTTTATAAAATTTATTTATAAAATACGTACATGTATTACATTACTAATATAGCCATTACATTGTAAAATATACTCAAAAATAGAATTTAAAACATTATTTGCTAAAAATATAAAAAGAAATTATTATTTTCTTCCTGTGCCTCAATAAATTGGCTTGCATACCCCCCAGAAAACACTAGACTACAGAAAAGCTGGGACCAGTGTTTTGAATTCCAAGCTCCTAAGGATAATGAACAGGATATTCAGACATGTATTATTAATCAAATTACATTATAATTAAGCCAGTGTTACTCTTCAGGGGTGTTTGATGACTTAAGATTTAATCTATTACTCATCCACAGTGCTGACCCTGACTTTTTCTTTTTCTCTAGGGTTCCTCTCTGGACTCAGTCACTTAAGTTCTCAGGTTTCTCTTCCAGATCAAAATCTCCTTGTGATCCCTATAACAAGGACAAGGATAGGAAATATAGCCACAGTAGAATTGAGTCTATCTGAGGCGAATTGAGTCTATCCATGGGTGAGAAACATGTAACAGAAAAACAGTTAAGTTCAGTGGCACAATCAAGGACCCAGACAGAGGCAGGGACTGAGACAGAGCCAGAGAGAGAGAGACAGGGCCAGAGATAGGAAGTGAGTCAGTAATACGGGATGAGTTAATAACTCAGGCAAGGTCAGCTACTGAGTTAGAACCAGTAGACACAGCAGAGCCAAGGCCTGAAGCAGAGAAAACAGTAGGTATTGTGAATATGTCAAGCAATAGACCTGACGTTAATGAAAGGAAAATGACTGAAGACAGGGGTGACAAAGACAGATTCAGCTGAGATAAATGATGATAACAAGACAAAAAGATTAGTCTTAGATACAAGGTAGTAGAGGACAGGGAAAAAAAAAAAAAAACCTATGAGAGAGATTTCCCTTCAGGGCTGAAGACATTTGTTGAGTCTGTATGAAGAGGAGTAGGAGTATCAGAGGTAATTCTGAGATGACAGTATAATGACTGTTGAACCCTCCCCTAAATTATGCCTCATTCGCTGAATACGTTGATATTACGGATGAAAGAGAGTCATTTGTATGGTTTAGGTCAAAGACACCAATAACCTACAAATCACAAATAAAGTGATGAAAAGCTAATTAAAAGAAGTTTCCAGGGCTTCCCTGGTGGCACAGTGGTTGAGAGTCCGCCTGCCGATGCAGGGGATACGGGTTCATGCCCCGGTCCAGGAAGATCCCACATGCCGCGGAGCGGCTGGGCCTGTGGGCCATGGCCGCTGGGCCTGCGCGTCCGGAGCCTGTGCTCCACAGCGGGAGAGGCCACAGCAGTGAGAGGCCCGCGTACCGCAAAAAAAAAAAAAAAAGTTTCCATGTAGTGTTGTGTGCTGTGACTGGGAAAGGCTGCAAAAGGTGGGGTGCCCAATCCACTAAGCCTTTCCAGATTCCCATGACCACACAATGGAACATTTCAGCAGAATGGAAAGAGCACTGGGTTTGGAAATTCAGACTCTCATTTTGTGGCCTTACTCCCCTAATGAGCTAGGCTGACTTTTGGCAAACATTTAACTTTCCTGGGCCTAAGCTCCTTCATTGACCAGCAAGGCTCTGAAATTTCTAGTACTGACTGTTTTGGCCATATATGGTGAAAAATAGAGAAATTATTCCCGTTGGCCCATACAACCCCAGGTTATCTTAGTAGGTAACTTAGTCTAGTCAGAGTAATTAAATTCAGTTCTCTATCTCCAAGGCTACTTTTGGCAAATCACTTCTCATTTTTTATTCAGATAGCTCATTTAAAACATGTAGGTGATTCCCATGGTTTTCGACTATTTGCAAGAACTAGAAAGGAAGGAAAAAGGTAAAGGCAGAAGGAACAGACTCTCTGAAAGAGTATACCATCTAGACTCAGGGAATTTCAGTGAGGGTTTAAACGGTTTTGCACAAGGGGTTGTGGCCTTTAAAACCAGAAGCTAGTTTTTTGGTTGGCAATATTGGTAGTTCACCATGATAAACCACTCTTAACTCCTTAAATGTTCGATATTTTACTATTTCTGCCTGCCTGTACCTCTTACTAGCTAAATTCTATGGCCCTTAATTTTATCATCTTTAAAAGTGGCCTCAACGAATAATATCATTCCCATTCCACATATTTTACTTTCTGGAACATTAGATAAGGGACCAGGATTGGGAATAAAGGGTAGACAATGCAGGGCACATTGAAAGATATTACTCCCAGTAAATATGAATTAACAGATGTCCGTATTAAAGTACAGATTCTGTATGGGGATAGTTAATATTTTAGTCATACCTTAATTTAGGTTACTTAAATTGATTAGATAATTATATAGCCAAATACTACTAAGCAGATGATTTGATAGTTGAGGGACAAGGGAAAAAAAAGGAAACCTGCCAAGGGAAGGTCTAGATGGGAGGGAGAATTTTGACAGCTTGCAGGCAAGATGAAACCTGTAACCTCCAATTTCTCCTGGAGAGCAGGGACACTGAAATAGTAGAAACAAATGTGGGGGACTTCCCTGGTGGTCCAGTGGTTAAGAATCCACCTTCCAATGCAGGGGATGCAGGTTCGATTTCTGGTTGGGGAACTGAGATCCCACATGCCGCAGGGCAACTAAGCCTGCGTGCCACAACTACTGAGCCTGTGAGCTCTGGAACCCACGAACCACACTAGAGAGAAGCCCACATGCCACAGTAAAGATCCTGCATGCCACAACTAAGACCTGACTCAGCCAAATAAATAAATTAATTAATTAATTATTTTTAAAAAGGAAACAAATGTGGAAGATTGATAAACACAAAATTTATCTCCTTATAATTTTGCTTAAAATCATGGCAGCATTAGATATTTGACTGGTTTGGAAACGTGTAACCTCCATTTTCTCTTATTCATAACCATCTTCCCATGCATCATCCAACCAGCAAAAATTTTAACAAAGATTTATTAAACATTAACAGGTAGTTCACTATGAAGTCAGGGGAAAAGGCAATAAGAGTAAAGGGTAAAATACAAGTTTCTGGAGCTCTAATAGCACACAAGAGGCACTGCACACCCAGTTCAGTCCAGGGGCTTAAAGGAAAGGTGCTCAGAGTTGCTATAACATGAATGAGCTCATTCCTGAAAAAGACAAAAATGATGACATAGACCTTATCTGAGAGAAAAAAAATCACTCAGCAAGTCATTTGTGTGAACCTGACTGTTCTAAAGGTTTTGGGAAAAGGAATAATACTTTAGCAACACAGCAGCTTTAAATAAACTTGTTCTTAAAAAGTAAAAAGCAAAATAAAAACAAAACTTCCTCAGCCAGTTTTCTCCTTGGACTCTAGCTTCTTGTCATAAATGGATATTGCTCCAAAAAAGAATGTCTTTCCATTTGTTTTATAGTTTTCATTCATCAATATCTTAGAGATTTCCAAGTACAGGTCTTTTACTTCCTTGGTTAGATTTACTCCTAGGAATTTTATTCTTTTTGATGCAATTGTAAATGGGATTGTTTTCTTAATTTCTCTTTCTGATAGTTTGTTGTTGGTGTTTAGAAACTCAACAAAATTTCTGTATATTAGTTTTGTATCCTGAAACTTTACTGAATTCATTTATGAGTTCTAATAGTTTTTTGGTAGTTTCATGTCATCTGCAAACAATGACAGTTTTACTTCTTCCTTTCCAATTTGGATTCCTTTTATTTCTTTTTCTTTTTTTTTTAAATTTTCTTTTTCTTATCTTATTGCTAGGACTAGGACTTCCTATGTTGAATAAAAGTGGTGAGAATGGGCATCCTTGCCTTGTTCCTGATCTTAGAGGAAATGCTTTCAGCTTTTGACCATTGAGTATGATGTTAGCAGCTTTATTCATAATAACCCCAACCTGGAAACAATCTAAATGTCTTTCAGTGGGTGAATGGTTAAGATGTGCTATATAAATACCATGGAATATTACTCAGCAATAAAAAGGAATAAACTATTGATACACACAACAATTTGGATGGGTCTCAAGGGAAGTATGAAAAAAAAACCCAAAGAAAATTTACTCAGTGATTCCGTTTATATACCATCTTTGAAGTGCCAAATTTTAGAGATGGAGGAAAAATGAATGGTTGCCAAGGATTAGGGATGGAGGAAAGGAGCAAGATGAAATGGGATTGTGGTTATTAAGTGACAACAAAAGGGATCCTTGTATGGATTAAGCTGTTCTGTATATTGACTTTGGTAGAGGATACATGAATCTAACTAAACATGTGGTAAAACTGAATAGAAGTAAATGCAGTAAAGCTTCTAGAAGAAATTATAAGAGAATAACTCCATGAGATCAGGATAAGCAAAGATTTCTTAAACAGAGCACACATGTACATAAAAATAACACTAATCACAAAGAAAAAATTATACGTTGTATTTCATTAAAATTAAGAACGGGGCTTCCCTGGTGATGCAGTGATTAAGAATCTGCCTGTCCAGAAGACCTAAATAGACATTTCTCCAAAGAAGATATACAGACTGCCAACAAACACATAGAATGCTCAACATCATTAATCATTAGAGAAATGCAAATCAAAACTACAATGAGATATCATCTCACACCAGTCAGAATGGCCATCATCAAAAAATCTAGAAACAATAAATGCTGGAGAGGGTGTGGACAAAAGGAACACTCTGGCACTGCTGGTGGGAATGTGAATTGGTACAGCCACTATGGAGAACAGTATGGAGGTTCCTTAAAAAACTACAAATAAAACTACCATATGACCCAGCAATCCCACTACTAGGCATATACCCTGAGAAAACAATAATTCAAAAAGAGTCATGTACCAAAATGTTCATTGCAGCTCTATTTACAATAGCCTGGAGATGGAAACAACCTAAGTGTCCATCATTGGATGAATGGATAAAGAAGATGTGGCACATATATACAATGGAATATTACCCAGCCATAAAAAGAAACGAAATTGAGCTATTTGTAATGAGGTGGATGGACCTAGAGTCTGTCATACAGAGTGAAGTAAGTCAGAAAGAGAAAGACAAATACCATATGCTAACACATATATATGGAATTTAAGGGGGAAAAATGTCATGAAGAACCTAGGAGTAAGACAGGAATAAAGACACAGACCTACTAGAGAATGGACTTGAGGATATGGGGAGGGGGAAGGGTAAGCTGTGACAAAGCGAGAGAGTGGCATGGACATATATACACTACCAAATGTAAAATAGATAGCTAGTGGGAAGCAGCCGCATAGCACAGAGAGATCAGCTCAGTGCTTTGTGACCACCTAGAGGGGTGGGATAGGGAGGGTAGGAGGGAGGGAGATGCAAGAGGGAAGAGATATAGGAACATATGTATATGTATAACTGATTCACTTTGTTATAGAGCAGAAACTAACACACCATTGTAAAGCAATTATACTCCAATAAAGATGTAAAAAAAAAAAAAGAATCTGCCTGTCAATGCAGGGGACATGGGTTCAAGCCCTCGTCCACGAAGATCCCACATGCCGTGGAGCAACT